CAACATAAGCCACGTTGCTGAAAGCATGTTTTTAGCAACGTGCCTTAAGTTGCTAAAAACTCTTTACCACTTACCAATAATTATTGCCGGATTCCGATGAACAATTTCACCAATATGGAGCGCGTTATTTTCATCAACGTGCATTATGTTGTTGATGTATTAGCAACAATTTGCTTGTTAGTGATGTATCAGTCAGCCAAGCTTCTCCGATAAGGCTTTTACCAACAAAAACCATGTTACTGAAAGATTGTCAGCAACATGGGAGGCACTTTCAACAACATGAAAGCATGTTGTTGAAAGCTTGAATTTTAGTAGTGATATAACTTTTACATGTCATTAAATGAATGAATGTATTTAATATCATAAGTTTCAAATAAATAAATAAAAATTAATTATTTAAATAACATATAAAATTATACAAAAAAAATATTTTCCTTAAATCATTTTCCAAATGAATTTGAGATAGAGGTATGTTTTTGTGTAGGGTCCATCCCACTCTTTTAACATGTCCAGACAATACAAGAAAATGTCCGAGTCGGACGGCTGGTTAGCTAGAATATTTCTGCGCTTTATGTTTGCAGCCTTTATCTTTTTCTTTTTCGCGTATGATATATATTTCCTCAACTCAAGATTGACTATTTAATTAATTTAATAATAATATTTTTCAATTTAAATAATGTTTAGGATGCCTTTTATAATAACATGAATATTCAAGTCTTTAACTTAACAAATGTCATAAATATTTAATTAATCTTTCACTTGACAAATCCTACAAGTATCCAGCACTGAATAGCTTAGTGACCACTCCCTTGATAGAAAATGTTAAGACGTGAAGACCATTCAATATCCAGCATTACTTTCCCATCCCAAAAATTCCCTTAAGTTCAAAAAATATCCTACAACTATTTGTAAATTATTTTATCCAGAAATATGGAAATATCTAGTAAGCAATTAAGACTCTACCTTTAAAAAGGTATATAACAAGCATAAAGCATGAAAATTGTTCACCCAAATAATGTTAAAGGGATTCAAACTTATATTCTTAACATAATTCAAATAATTCTTTAATTTTAACCACTTGAGCCGACCGAATGAATTTTTTAAGAAATTTTTAATGATTATTTCTCATTAAATATAATAAAAAGTTGAGGATTTAAATAAAACTTCTACCATATTTCGTTAAAAAATACCTTATCGTAAGAATTATAGTACTTTTAAACACGCTGATTTTTTTTTTTTTTTAAATCTGACAATTTTCTCAACAAAATTTTCAGTCAAAACTTATTTGGAGAAAAACATCACTTCATACCAATCCAACAAGGGTTTGTTGGTCAAAGTTTGAAAAACGCTAGCGTGCCAACTGCTTTGCTACTTCCAAATAGGTCCACACCTTTCTGGGCATGTGAGATTAGGACTGGCCCAAAACAGTTTGAAACCGGTGCTCAAAATCAAATTTAGAATAGAAGAACCCATAAAATTTTGAATCTCTGACTGCCCAACTCGTCCAGAAGGTGCAAGAAGATAGGTGGAAGAAACATTTCTTAAATATTGAATCTCTGAACCCTTTTCACCTGGGAACAGAGTCCAATGGAACTGTGGAAGAGCTAAATTGTTTACTGGATGATGTGCAGGCTGTGGCTAAGGCAAGGACGGGTGGACACACGGAAATGGAAGCATTCAAGTGAAGGTTCATATTCTGTCAAGTCAGGATATGCAAATGCTGACATCAAGCCATGTGAGTGGGGGAAGGAGCATTTTCAACCTAATCTGGAAGCCATTGGTTGCATTCAATTGGCAGGCAATACATGATAGAGTTCCAACCAGATTAAATCTGTTTAGGGCTGGAATTTTGGATGATTCAAGCGTGCTTATGTGTGTATTCTGTGGGAATGAAATAGAAGATTTGCATCACATTCACATGTATAGGCAGTGTAAAGTTTCATATGGTGTTGGGACTAGGTGCTGGAAATGGTGGGCGAGTGACATGCCTTTTACCTTAAAATTGCATGCAAGCCAGCCTATGTGCATCAGTCTGGCTTATTCAACAATAAAAAGGTGGCAGTAGGATGGAAAGTAGTGTGGGAAGCAGGGATGTGGTCCATATGGTTGGCCAGGAATGACATGGTTTTCCATGATAAACCAGTTGATTCGGGAAAGATATTCAAGCTTATTCAATTGAGATCATTCCACTGGATAAAGGCAAGGGTCAAAATTTGCAGGTTCTGCTTCACTGACTGGGTACAGGAACCAGGGGAATGCATGAAACAGTCCATGAATTAAACATAAAATTCTCAAAATGCAAACTTTTATAACAATTTTCCTTGCCTCTCAACCTGATGGTGGTCTGGCTCATGCATGAATTAAATGTCCCAACCCACCCACAGAAAGAATCAAGGAAACAGAATGCAAGAAAATTAAAAACTTGGAGCAAGGTATCATAAGATGTCAAATAATCTAAAGAAGCAAATGATGAAATAAAGAAAGAGAACAGCAAGATTATCAACTTAAATGCCCCAAATGCAAAGGCTGCAGTGGATTGCAAATGATTGCCACAGTACCCAAAAAAGGGGGGAAAAAAACGAAAAAAGAAAAAAAAAAAAAAAAAAAAAAAAAAAAGCAGAATGTGAGAAAAAGAAATTCACGGAATAGGCTTCTAGTCAAAAATAAGTTTCTCACATGACATGACAAAAAGAGGAAACAATCAAATACAATAATGTCTCTAAATTTCCTGTTCTAAAAAACAAAAGAGAACCCTGGACAAAGAATGACAACTCTCTGTTGACTCTTTTGCAATCTCTATGATAATAGATGAATGTGATAGAATTGTGCCATGATGAATGAGAAATAGGCTATTCCAACACATACCAAGAGGGGGAAAAAAAGGCAACACATGAGAGAAATAAAGAGAATAGGTAAGACCATAATGCATTCCATCATACCAGACTGGATAACTCTTTGATTCAGAACTATTGGTCAGTGTAACCCTTCCAAGAGCTGCTCCAGCAATGCCTTGCTCTTGGTGACAGCCACATTAGGATACAAACCCGCACATAGAAAGAGCGAATGGAACTTCAAACAACCGAAAGCCACGTCCACCTTAGCTTCACAACTGCAGAATGATTTGAATAAATGTTGAGTGGTTTTGAGTTATCAAAAAACCAACCATCAAGATTCTCTTTCTTTTTTCCATTAACCTATGAACCAATAAACTTTATCCTTGTGAAAACCATATAAATATTTTTGGACAAATAAATGCTGCCAAAGAAGAAATGGACTCCTAGTATTGATGACACCTACCTGTTCTGTAAAAAAGGAGTGGAAACAAACACTCATCTGTTTTTTCAGTATCACTTTACCGAGCAAATATGGCAGGTTATTTGTGCTAAGACAGGAATTCCCTTATTCTGCTCTTGGCAAGGTTTATTGGCCTGGAAGGGGAAGCGGATTAGGAGGAAATCCTTGGACTGTATCCTTGTTAAACTGGCCTGAAATGCTACAGTTTATTATGTATGGAGGGAAAGAAATAACAGAGTCCATAAGCAACATTTCCAATCTGTTTTGCAGGTGGTACATACTATTCATTTTGATGTTAAAAATAAGGTTTTGGGCTTTGCAAAGCCAAAATCTTCGTCACTGGCCATGTCTGTAGCAGTGCAATGGGGGCCAGCCAAGTAACAGTGAAATTCCGAAAACACCCTCTGGGCAATTCAACAATTCCATATACTGAGTTTTTAGTTATTTTAGTTGAAGAAACGGTCGCGAGAACACTCTGAGTCGCATCAAGAAACTGTCGGCTTCTCTCTCAATCTAACAGAATCCTAACAACCTCGTATGCTACTAATTATTATCTACTCGAGTTCATTACGAAATCGAACATTAATTGTCAGCGCGAGGACGACGCTACTGCCGGTTAAGAGTATAGAAATCGATAAATCGTATGATTACCATTTTTGGATCGCCAGACTCACCGCGATCACATTTCGAACGTAATAACTTCTCGATCCTTTAATCCGTTATCTAATAATACGTAATCTATCTGTTCAATTAATCGAGCGAGATGATTAATTTATAAATAGGGGATCCCAATGCCGAACTTGTCATTCCAGTTCTCAAACTTTCACAATCTCTTGCTCTATCAAAGCACTGTATCCAATCCAAACACAATGGCGATCATCTTTGAGGATAAAAGCGTTGAGAAAAATGACATTGACAAAGGATTGCGGTTTCCTAGTGATGCCAAAATAGGAAATCTTCCATTTGATTGCAGCAACGACGGTCAGTTAGGACAGTTGCAGGTTATAGATGAGAACGGTTTTCCGTGGACGCTTGCCTGCAGAAAACAGAACGGAATTATCTATTTCACTGATGGTTGGAAGAAGTTCAGTAAAGGCATTAGAGTTGGTCACAGGATCACCCTTTACAAAGAAGATGACTCCTTCGGCCCTGGAGGAGCTCAATACAAGATTACAGTGAGGAAAAACTGAGAACAGGGATTGAATATTGTTGGCTTTAATTTAATTAGATGAAATATTTTTAATTCCCCTCTCCATTTACCTCCTACCAATTAAATTGTAATAAGTTCTAAGTCTGTTCTAGTATAATTTAGGTTGTGATACTCTGTTATCCTTAATTTGTATTATGATTTTGTCTATTATATGTAGACTTCATTTGAATTATTACAGACTTTATATGGTTTTGCCATCAAATGTAGAAGAATGTTTATGCAATTAAAGCTTCACCTTCCTTGCTGAGAAAATAAATCAAAATTCTTCTTTATCAAATACATGCACTACTAATATTAAGCCTACAATGAATGCGTATGGGTTACAAGCCATAGACGGGCGCGCCCCTTTGTTTTTGTATTTTTTTTTTCTCATATTAAATCTCTTTATTTCAAAAATCAACATTAAATTTTAATTAATTTAAAATAAAAATTTCCTCAATCTTTTTATTTATAAAATTTAAAATTCATAATCTTATTTAAAAAATACTAAATTCCTTTCCCTCGACAAATTATCAGCGCCCCTTTGCTAACTACCTGTTAGCTACACTAACCATCCCCTTCCCTCTCGCGGTTTTATGGATGTTAAACTATTTTCGGCTTTTATCTAACAAACTCTGCGTTTTACATTTTTCTGTTTTTTGGGAAACTAACAAACGTACGTACGTTAGATAAAATAAAAGGCAAAATAATTTTCACCTTCTTTAAACAGACGGCAAATCCCTAAATTTTTGACGGGCAATCCTACTACATTCTCAGTCACAGCTTCTCCTCTCCATGTGTCCGATCATCGAAAGGGATGAGAGGGCACGGCCGACGCAGAGATCTGGAGGTGAGTCAAAAGAGACCCAGGGGTTGAGTGGAGGGAGACTTGGATATGGTTGTCGATGGAGAAGGGAGATCGGGAGAGAACCAGGTGTGAGTGGAGGCCGACCGGTGTGCGAGGAAGAGTTCGAATAAGATGAGCGGCGGACAAAGGGCATTCGGGTCTGACCTCGAGTGGAAGAGAAGATGTTGATGACAGGAAGTAGATCTAGGGGCTGGACAGGGGATCTAGATCTGCTCTCCCATGTTGGAGAACAAATAATCCATGGTTTGGAGAAAACAGCTTCATAGATCTTAACCTCCCTGCTCCCATGGAAGACGATGATTTCAGCCAAATTGAACTCCCTGCTGTGTATGATGATTTTGTACTTAAAATCATATTTTTCTATTTCTTCCAGGCCCTTTAAACGAGTCCATTAATTCTTTTAATTCTTCAAACTACTGAGGAGATATAGTTTCCAATCCATCTTTTCTTCAGGTTTGGAGGTTTGGCAATTGGCAAAGCTAGTGTGACTGTGAAGGTTGATTAATGGTATTTTCAAGCAGAGAAAGGTCCTTCCCTACTCATTAATTAAGTTAGTTTGTTTTCATTTCTCATTTTTCCTTTTCAGTTTTATGAATGTGGTAAGAAGTTTGTTAAGAAACCACATCTATGCCTCTTTTGCTTATGATTTGTGTCTTGCTGTTTGACTAAACTTGTCTGAAATGCTTGCAGAACTGTTCGTTTACTGGTCTTTTGGATTTTCAATTTTTTGTTACTTCAATTCTTAAATTTTTAAGATTTTAGGGTTTTGAGGTTTTGCTTTGATTTCACTCTATCTAGTGACCGTGATGCAGTTGTTGTCACTAGTTGGATTTTTGCCTCTTAGAAAGTTTGGTTTGTACTAGATTAGTTCGTTTTGAATCCATGGAATTGAGAAAGGTAATGAAGATCCTTTCTTTTATCATTATTTCAAAAACTCTTACACCCTTTATCTAAACTTAAATTAGCAACAAAATTTTTTTAAGAGTGATTTTGGTTTATAGGAATCTTCCACATAATTTGGTTCCAAGGTTCTTCATTTCTCTTTGTTCTCTGTTCTTCTGGTTTCTTTTCTGATGTTAATTGGAGCATCCAGTTTATGTTATTTCCAGTCTTATTTTGTTAATCGAAATGGGTTCTAGGCTCTCTCGAAATTTCTATTTTCTTAGTGGAAATGAATGTAGTGAAGGTTTTTGCAGTCTGGGTACCTGATTTTCTTTCCCTTTGATGATATGATTTCGCAGGGTCATGGTTGATAATGATACACAAGAACCAAGGTCATTCTGATTAAGGTATTAGTTAATTATTTCAATTTATGATTCATTTTTTGAGTTTAGATCTAATTACACACATCACTCACACAAAATCTTAACCTTTCATATCTCTCTCTTTTATTATTTCTTTTTCCTTCAATGTTTCGATAAAACTTTGGCAGCCAATGTTCTATGCAAAATTGTGGATTTTGTTGAAAACACTATGCCATGCAAGTTTGAGGAAGTGACAATGTGAACAATTTAACGATTGAATTGAAGTTGTTGAATCAATTCGGAATTGAAGTTGTTGAATCAGTTGAATTGAAATATAGAAAGGAAAATTATTGGGTTCATTATTATTATTATTATTATTATTATTATTTTTGTGGAATCAAGTTGAGTTCTTAATAATTAAAATTAAAATCATATTTATATTTATAATTGGAGTTTAGAGTTCTTCAATCTCTTCAATAAGGTTTTCTAAGAGGTCTATGGTCATTTATTTGATATATTTTATGAATCTTTTTATTAAAGGAATTTATTAAAAATTTTAAAAGATCCATTGGTATTTATTCAATATTTATTGAAAATTTTAAAATATTTATTGGATATATATTGGGATTTATCATAAATTTTAACAAGTTCTGTATGGAGTGGTGTGCTCCCTATATCAGAGGAGCTTGTTCTCCCTCAAATAGTTATAAAAAATGTACTACAAGAAAGGTTGCACTTCAGTTTTCTAATTTATTTTAGTGACATTTATTTGTCTTTTGTGTACATGATGTTTTCTCAAACCATCCAACTTAGTGATCAACTTCTTAAGTGATTTAGTAATAAATTTTTGGATTTGTTTGATACAAGTTAAGGATACTTTTTTATTATAAATATATAGAAAAATATAAAAATTGAAATTAATTTTAGTATTGGTACTAAATAGATGAATTTAATTAAACATTTGATAAATTAAAAGTTAATTTTTATTTTTTAGTACAAATTTATGATAAAAGTATGTATTTATTATACTTTTAATTTATGATGTTAAGCTACAAGTTAAAAATAACTTAAAGTTTTTTAATTAAAATAAAAATTTATGAATTTTAGATTCTGACAAATAGAACTTCCCCAACTCCCCTCATTTGATTTGCGACTTGCTTGGCTATTAATTATCTCTAGGATATTTCTTTTTTTTCTTTTTTATGACATGAGTATTGAGGCCTTTGGTTTCATTAATTTCATGAATACTAATTAGGGTCCTATCTACAAATACTAGATAAGGGTTCACTTTTAAAGGTAACAAGTTTAACCCATTGATCAAAATTGTTGACGCCCAAAATGTCATCGGAATGATTAAAATCTACATTTTTAACATAATTCAATTGAGTCCTTAATTTTAACAACTTGAGCCATTGGATCTATTTCTCACTAAATGTAAAATAATTGAAGATTTAAACAAAGCTTCCATTATATTTATATTATAGGCTAAACTTATCTGGGGAAGAACTTCCTTTCAAACCAAACCAACGCTAATTGTTAGTTGGTCAAAATGTGAATAAAAACGTTAACGACTTAACGTGGCCTCCATTTCACTACTTCCAAATAGGTCTATATCTCTTGGGCATATGAGATTAGGACCAGTCCAAAACCGCTCGAGACCAGGGCTCAAAATCAAATTTAGAATAGAACCCATAAGTTCTGAATCTCTCACGGCCCAAGTTGTCCAAAAAAGTGAAAGAGGATATATACTCTTTGGTTTATGGTAGATTTAATTTATTTTTTGAATTTTTAAATATAAATTTAATAATTTTTATAAATAATAATTAAAATTTTTTTCTTACATAAAATTTTTATTGAGTATTTTTATTTAATAAAAAAATTCTAAATTATTATTTATATAATAAGTTAACTTTTTATTTAAAATTTATATTTAAAAAATTAAAAAATCAAATTAAATCTATTAAAAATTAACAAAATCCAGTAGATGAGAAGATGGACGAAAGAAACACTTTTTAAATATATACTTGCACAATTAAGTAAAGTAGTGGGGAATACTACAAATTAAATTCCTTCAAGTGGATCATCATGGAGATTGAATAACTTTTTAGCTTGACGAAATAAATAAAAATAATCAACAGCACAACAAGAATGTGAATATTTTTTTCTGTTCTTTTTATCAGTTTAAATTTTTTCTATCCTTTGATATTTTTCCTTTTTATTTTTTCTTTTTGGAATAATGCATGTAAATCCAAGGCGTAATAGCAAAAAGTTAATTATCATAACTTTTGTCTCTAAGACACGTCTAGACTCTAACATACAAAGCTGTCATTCATTATCTTCCCCCTTATAATCACTGACGTAGGCAGGATTTAAGGCTAGAGGGAGTATAATAATAAATTACCAAAAAAGAGAAGGAAAATCTTTTAAGTCAAATGGGTTGTTTAACATTTATAATTTCTTATTATTAAGATTATTTCCAAAATAAAAATAAAAATAATCTAAAAACAAGAACACAACAATGATAAAATATGAACATAGATAAAAAAAAAATAATGATAAAGGAATAAGAGATAAAATTAACTTTACTCTTTCAAATGAAATTATCCAAGTCTTACAACTTAATATGCAAAATAATTAAATCTTAAAATTTGAAAAAATAAAATAAAATAATCATAACACACAAATTAATAAATAAATTTTTTTTTTAAAAAAGGCTTCATAAATTGATTAAAACAAATCAATTAAGCTAAAGCCTTTCTAGAAATAAAGTAATTTGTGCAAATAAATTAAATTGTAAGTGGAAAAAAAAAACAAATTAAATATACAAATCTAGATCTACATTGTAGGAGACTAACATAAAAATAAATATAGAACTTAAACTCAAGGTTAAAACATTTGTTGATAAAATTGAGAAATAATTATGGAATACATATAAAACAAAACAGAAAGATGATTAAATTAAACTCATAACAAATAAAAACTAATTAACAATGATTCTTCTTCACCACTGACAAAAACTAATTAAAAAAAGAAAAAGTAAAGCCTTTCTTTCAAACAAACTAAAAATAAAAAAGTATAATCAATTAACAATTACAGTTAAAAGAATTAAGTCATCAAATAATCAATAATTTAAAGCTTAATGTCAAAAGTAATTAATAATTACAATAACTAATGATTATAGAAGAACGTCTCAATAGCACCTAACCTTCAAGTCAAGTGGTCTTTGGCCACTTTGAAGTGCATCCCCTCCTCTTTAGGCGGGTTCTAACCCATCCCATGATAATATTATTCAAAAATAAAAAATAAAAAAAATTAATAGAAGAATGTCCCAAAAGAAATCAAAGTTCATTGTTATAAAAATTGTTAAAATGGTAGAGTTATATTTTAAATTGATGAAAGAAAAGATGGTGAATTTAAGTGATAAATTGCATTATAATTGACAATTAGCTTTAAGTTTTCCTTTTTTCACCAAATAATCAACATATATATACTTCAAATTTTTATTTTTTAATTAAACTTTTTAAAAATTTGTCAATACTTTAGGGGGCCTGGGCCCCTCCAAGCCCCCCTATCTCCGCCACTGCTTATAACCCTAATTTAAGTACCTTAAATTTCTTCCTCAAAACACGAACTCATATCTCCCTTCTCTCTCCTCTTCTCTCATGGCAGCAGAAAGAAGCAACGCTGAAGCCAAGGCTGTCCTGGTGGCCGAGCCAGGCGTCTACAGAGAATGCATGCGAAACCATGGGCTCAACTTTGGTCGCTACACTGTAGACGGTTGCTGTGAGTTTCTCCAGCTCAATGACGACGCATTCCATTGTGCTGCATGTGGCTGCCACCGCAGCTTCCACCGCAAGGAGCCATCCAACCAACACCATGTTACTCCTCCACCAAGGCCACCGAATCACAGTCCATCCCCGTTGGCGTCCCATAGCAAACGAGGGACTGCATGCGATCAAGGGACTTCTTTGAAAAGAACGAGAACTAAGCTTACAGCAGAACAGAAGAAGGAGATGATGAGGTTTACAACGGAGAAATTAGGGTGGCGGCCACAGAGACACAATGAGGGAGAGATAGAACGGTTCTGTGGTGAACTGGGAATCAGCCAGCGGGTGCTCACGGTTTGGTTTTATAACAACAAGAGTAAGCTGGTGGGGAAGAAAGTCTGAATTTTGACAGGAGGAGATCGCTGCGGAGTTAGGGTTATAGTTCTCTGGTGGCCCTTTTTTTTTTTGGGGTATGTTTGTGTTGTCAGCTTATTTTAAACTTAATTTATTGTTTTGTGTAACTGAAATGCGTCATGTTTTTGTAGTTCAATGGAAGTCCTGCAGATGTTTAACAAGTATATACAAATGAGAAAGAATTAACAGAGGATTCTTCCAATTTAATCAAAATTCTTGTTTTAAGTTTTGAGAATGCAATTTCATTAAAACTCGTAAAAAAAAAAAGATTTGTCACCTGTTGAGTTTTGTCTAGCTCAAATCCGATTTAATCGATAATCTAATGGATTTTTGGATACCTTGTACAAACCAAAAAATATATATATATATATATATATATATAAATGAGAAAAGAAACTAGTACTACCAAAAATATATTTGTGTTGTATAATTTTATTTGATAAAAAGAATTATCAATTGTCAATGAAACATTATTTTATAATAGCATCTAAAAAGTTAACACAACAATTATTTTGCGACAGCAGGACAGGACTTGGAGAGACTATAACAAACAACATTGTAATAAAAATGGTCCCAGGAGAAAAACTTTGTAAGAATTTTATCCATTACCTTTGCCCTTCAAAGTATTATTATTATTATTTTTTTTTATAGAAAAGGAAAATGATAAGAAAGAGTGAGATCCCAATAACAGTTGAATCCTACTTACAGTGGCCACGAAACCAAAGTGCATGGTCTAGGAATAACCAGTGCAATATTAATGTTACAGTTCAGACCTTCATCTTCTAGTCTTCATATTCTGTTTCTTCATCGTCCTCTTCATTGTTCTCCCCGTACCTCCACCCGTCCTCAACATTTTCTCGATCTTCCTCAGTTTCTTCACTATCCTCTTCCTCAAATACCTCTTCTTTAGGAGGCCAGGATTTCTTTGTCACATTCACTGTCGCAGGAGATGAAGTGGACGCCTTCCGTGCAACTTTTGAAGGAGGCATCTTAATATTCGGCTTTGCCCTGCTTTGTTGTCTCTTACTCTTACCATTTACCTGCTTTCCAGCATAAGCATCTTGATCACTGGCTTCATCATTCTCATTTTCAGCATTAACCGTGGCATTCTCAGCATTCTCATCAGACATATGGCCAGGATGTTCTCTCTTTAAATGAAGTTTAAGCTTGTATTCATGTATGTAGGCCTTTTCACAACCTTCATAAGGACAAGCATAAGGGCGATCAGCTGATGCTGCAGAGCTATGAGCACCCCCTGAAGACTTGGTAGCTTTTGGTGTCTTTTCTGGAGGTGTAGCATATTTTGTCACATCCACTGTTGCATTCTGTCAAATTCTCATGGTGAATGAAGATCAGAATCAATATCTAATTGTCAAGAAAATGCAGTATAAACTAAGAATGCTAAATAAAACTATCAACTGAATGAAAGCAGGGAGCCAGCCTGCCAGGGCCTCTTGTTCTCTGAATGGAGCAACTGCTCAACCTAAGTAATAAATGTGTAGTTATGTTGAAAACAAATAAGGAAGGATAATGCTTCTTCCAAGACATCCATACATCCCCTTTATCAACAAACCTCTAAAAGCACAATAAACATTCTACAACTGGTAAAGATAAAAGATGAAATATGATAGAATAAAGAATAATCGAAGTCATGAAAAAACATATATGCCTCAATACAGAAAATGTATTTTTAATTAAAGGGAAGGAGAAGGAATATTACTAACCTTTTCATGTTGAGATGCTATGTGGTTTTTAAGCTTGTACTCATGAGCATATCTCTTGCCACAATCTGGGTAAGGGCAGATATGATAGTTTTCTTGTGAATGTGTTTTCATGTGTGACCTCAGGTTGAAATCCAGGGAGAATGCCTGCAAACCTCAGATATCAATACGTTGGATGGCATGCAGAGGACCAAGATGTTTATGCAGATACAATGATACTATCAAATAAAGGAAAAATTCAAAGCAAACTGGTAGTCAAATTGAAGATGCAGGGGAGTAGTAAATAAAAACTAAGGGCTGCATCAATAAGTGGATTAACAGCTTATTACCTTGCCACACCCTTCAACAGGGCATACAAAATCTCTCTCTCCAGTGTGAATGAGAAAGTGTCTCTTTAATTTTGAACTATCCAAAAATTTCTGCAACATAAACACATGATACATTTTAAGATTGCAACATGCCAACATATGCTCCACTTAATGAAAACTGAAAACATTGACCAAATGAAAAGGAAATAGAAGTCAAAGTATAGATAAACAAATCAATCTTATACTAATTCTCTATACACAATGTATGATGTTTAAAAAATTGAGAGAGAAAAAGAGGATTTCAAGAATGAAATTTTTTTCCCAACAGCAGTTTATAAAATCTTAAGCATGTCAGCACAATCAGTTCATCATCTTCCATAACATCTTAGTGGAAAATGAGCTTAACCAAACTAATAAACTTCGAAATTAACATGAACTTAAAGAAAAATGCTTGTAGTTCTTCATCCACTAAGCATTAACAATGAAATGTCTCCCTTACTATTGCTTGACTTAATATTAAAACACTTACTACAAGGGGGCTCTAAACTTTACAATTTTTACAGAGAACTGCAAATTAGAAACTAAAAACCAAAACAATCAGAAAAATAATAATAATAATAATAATAACAATAATAATAAGAGATCAGAAAGGCTTTGGCAAAATACCTTTCCACAGCCCTCATAATGACAAACATATTGTCTCTCTCCATGGATGTGAGAATGCTTCCTCAAGGCACCAGCATCGATAAAGGTCTTTCCACATCCTTCATAGCTGCAGAGAAAAAGAACTTCAGTAGTAGGCTCCGGTTCAGGCTCTGGTGCGTCTGGCTCTTTTGCTTTCTCTTTCAAAGCCTTCAAGGTGTTCTCTAAACATAGCAGCAACAACGGAAGAAAAGAAAAAAACTCAAGCCAAACTCAAATTGAAAAATCTATGAATAAAAAAAAAATTCTGGTCTTTAGTCGAAAAAAATTATACAATCTTTTTTGTTGCTTAAACATAAAAGGTGGGTCTCAATCACAAACCAATATTTGACAGAGGAACTGATGTACTAATAGAGAACAAAGAACAAAGAACTAACCATTTACCCACTTCAAAAGCTTGCACTTTCCACCTGTTGCTACAACATCTTGAGGCACCCTAAATAGAATTCCAATCATTAAACAACCTAGTGAAGAAATCCAAGTAATTCCAGAACAACAAGGCTAAATTCAGTGTTTGGTTGCCGAGAAAGCAAAAGAAAACCAATGGGCATTACTTTTTTTCCACGAAACCAAACCATACTAAACTGTTGATTGAACGAGAAAAAGGGGATTAATTACCATTCCCTGACCCACTTCACAGCCGGAGCCTTCGATTTAGTTATGGAGCGTCTCTCGAACAGACTGTGAGCGAACTGGGTTTCCATCTTTTCCCCTTTGCTCTGATCTTCTATGGATTGAAATTGAGAAGGTTAGGGTTAGGGTTTCGATTCATAAGGAAGAAATTAGGGAAGGGCACTGAAGGACCATGTGTGGTTAGTCAGTCCCCCATCCCTGCTGCTTCGTCGAGCTCGAACCGGAATGGTGCGGGTCACCTCGGATCCAACCCGGCCGCCTTTTTCCAATCGACAGCCCGATTTTCTTGGGCCAACAAGGCTTTACATTACCCTTGGGCCTTCTGAACTGCACATTTTGGACGCAATTAACAACCGAGCCTACTCATCCCTTCAAGGCTCTGACTCAGTTCACTAGGATTTGGGGTGAATATTTTTTTTGGTGAAATTTTTGGGGTGAATATTTGATATGAGTATATTCGTCATTTGTAAATTTTTTTTTGGATAAATATTATATTTAAATTGTAAAAAAAATTAAGTAAATAATATGTATAAAATAGTATATCCATAACTATCAAATCAAGTAACAAATATGTGGGTTTAAAACTATTTATCAAACTTGTTTAACTAATCAAACTTGTTTAACTAACTAATTATTTATACTTGTCCCGCACTCGGTGGCCTAATGGCCACCCCCTTGCAGGGACGTGTGTAGGATTAAAAGAACTTGGGATCAAATCTCAAGTCTCCCATTCCCCCTTCCCCCAAAAAAAGATTTCACACTATTAAAAAAAAAACTAATTATTTATACTTGTATAATTAAAATTTTACTGTTACTTTTACTTATTATATTTAATATTTATATAATAATAATAATTTAAAAAAAATAAAAATAAAAGTAGAGTAACAAATTACACACATAGCAATAATAATTTGTATAAATAACAAAACCCAAGCTAAGTACGTAATATATACAACAATAGTAACTCGTATGAGACTTATTCTTTCTGTAAACCAAATACACAATTATATAACCACAAGTTATTCAACTCCTATTAGGTTAGATACTCAGTATAGGTTTTCAAATATCAAGGTAAATACAAAGTCTAAAAAGTTATATTTAAAAATTTTTAAATCAAATACCAATTCTAACTAATATCCAACTTGTACTTGAAAATGCTTACTCTCGACTAAGATCATAGAGCCCTAGGTCCAAGGTTTTTTGTGACCCAATGATTAAATGCCTAATAAAACTTTTCTCTACTTAGTTTAACTTAGTTTTGTTTATCAATATTGTATTATATTATAATAATATAATTTTTTATCTTTTATTATATAAAAATACATATTTAAATAAAATACTGTATGAGAAAATTACGTATACAAAACCGTAACGAACAAAGCCAAGTGTCTAATCCATTGAAAAAGATTTTCTGGTTTCCTTTATAAGCTCAAGCAGGAAAGCTAAAAACCCGGTAAACCCGACAAAACCCGGTCAACCAGGCCGACTTGATAAACCTGTTGACTAGACCGGTCAATTTAAATTTTTTATTTTTTACTCCTTTTTTTTGCATTTTATTTTTTAAAACATATATTTAATTAAATTTAACTTTTTAAATTACTTTTTAAGATGGTTTATAAATTATTTTTAGAAAGACTATATTCCAATAAAATAATATCAATA